CACGCGCCCGCACGCGCCCGCACGCGACTCGGAATCTTCGAGGCTCCGGCCCAACGTCGTCGTGGCCTCTGCCATGGCCAAGTGCAGGGCCAACGCCGGCGACTTTGCAGGAGCCGCAGCGAAAGACCAACGCCTCCACACATCTTTCTCGCTGTTCTTGAGGAGCCACTGAGGAGCTGCGCCGTTTCTCCTCGGCCTCCCTCGTTCCCAGCCAGCGCAGCTTCGCTCCGGTCCTGGCTGCCTGTGCCAGGCACGGGTCCTGCCGTCAACTTGAAGGGCTTTGTGTTTCGGGTCAGGGCCGGCGACGCCGAAGCAGCCGCGCGGCTGCATGCTCTGGCATCGGCGCAGGGTCTGCGGCTGGACCTGCCTTCACTGTAGCTCAGTGCCCTTCGTTTGTCTGATGCTTCTGGGTGGGGGTTCAACGGTTCAACCCGAGTTTCAGCTCTGGAGCCACTCCACAGCCAGCAGAGCAACGCACGGCATCAAGAGCTGGCAGCGGATATCAGCAGATTGACCCATTCAAGAGAAATCTGTCACATGCAAAGCGCCTGGAGGACAGCAGATGCCGTGCTGCCTTGTCCCAAGCGCGCGCAAGAGAGAAAAATCGCAGCAGCAGCAGCAGCAGCCATCGCTGGTGTATGTGCACTTCATTGAGGAGCATGCACGCATCGCATCTGTCGGCAGTGCTGCTCTCACATGTGCTGCGCGCAGGCTCACGAGAGAAGACTGCAGCCCTTGAAGGACTCACCGTGTGGAGCCGCATCCGACTGGGACAGAACCTTTCGCCGAGCGCGATGTGTGACGTGCAGCACTTGGGCTTGAGAGCTCCGGCAATGGCTTACTTGAGGAGCGCACACAAGCGCGCTTCTTCATCCGGTTGATCTATGCCACGACGGATGGCCCGGTGCCGAGAGATGAGGCATCTGAGGCACTCAGCAAGCTTTCTGCTGGCTGAGAGAGGCTTTCTTTGGCGCTCTGAGGGCTTTGAGCTCTGAGGTTCCAACATTTTCACACCCGAGTACCTGAAGCGGATTAAGCGCATCGAAGACAGGCCCCGCCCGACTCGATGAGGGATGTTGTCGAAACCGTGCAGCAAGCTGCATGTCCAATCCAGTCGGTATCCTTGCGGGGGTGAAGCTAGAGCAAAATGTTGACAGAACCGTTGACGTTCTCCGCATTCCTGAACCTTCCTGTCATTTCTTCATGGCCCCCTTGGCCTTTGAAGTTTCTTCCTTTGGGCACTCCCTCCAGCCTCCAGCCTCTGACTCCTCACCACCTTCATGCGTACCATGACCGCATTTGCAACAAAGCTCACTCGGGCAGGAAGCCGCAGGTGACATAGGACATCGCGAGAAGTCATAGCGGTCAGGCTCGAGACTTTGCCGGGCTACCGACGTTTCTGCCTCGCCGATGGAAACGGCCGCTGTGTGCGGCCGCTGTCGGTGCAGGGCTGAGAGGGTTCGCCAGGTCAAGGTTTCGTTTCGTGTTCCTGTCGAGCGGCCAGCGAGGCGGTCAACTATTTCTTTGCCAGCATGGATGCTAGCACAGGCAGCCCGGCTTTGATCCCCGAGTGCCAAGATATGCCGACACTCGTCAATCTGCCGGTCTGCCGGACATCTCCTTTCTCTCGTAGAGTCTGAGGATTGAACCATGCAGTATCAAGTCTTGCTCGGATGTGGGAGTCTGTGTCGAGGCACCATCACGCCTGATGGTCGAGGAGAACACCTTCTTCCCATTCAGGCAAAGCCATAAAAGCCAAGCAGAGCGGAGACTTTAGGACGACCGCCGAACAGACATGACAAGCTGCCAGCAGTTTGCCTGCACCTCTATGATTGTATGTGTGTCAGGCGATCTTAGCGAATCTTGGCACCAGCAATTCCTACTTCGTGGATAGGCGAGCATTGGGCAAATTTGGGAACAGCCTTGGGCAGATTCTTGGTCTCATCACCGAGACTTGTGCCAGGTACTTCGGTGTCTCGTCGGGTCAGCTGAAAAGTGCCCGAGACTCTGGTTCCGGGCTCCACTCTTCCCACTGTGGGAGCCAAGAGAGTGGAGTGAGTCGAGGCTCTCGAGGGCAACATTACTCGCAGCGTCCTCCGCTTCGGATTGCCCCTAAGGCCTGGCCCGAACACGCATTGCCCTGGAAAAGTCTCCGACTCCCCTTTCTACTCCCCAGAGAAGGTATGTTTTGTTTCGTTTCTCTTTCTCAGGGGCTTTCGGAACACGGAGGCCAGGCGAAAGCAGCTCCACCTGAGAAACCGCGCTCTTCTTCTGCACTTGATTTCAGGACCATCGACAGGCCGAGATGTTCGGGGAGTTCGTCAGGGACCAGCCCGGGGCCCCAGTACGAGGGTAAGAGAGACTTCCACTATTTTCCACTTCTGCTAGGCTCCGGCCTTACTTGATGGAGGCGTCCTCGGAGGCCCAACTGCAGCCTGCAAAGTGGCAGGACGTCGCGGGCTTGTTGCACATCTGTTGTGTGAATTGCAGAAGCTGCGTGTCTACTTCTACGGGGACCAGGTGACCCAGTTAGAGGCTGGTTCGCCGTGCACGCCAATGGTTCGCTTTCTCTTGAGACTGCCATCGCGTGTTGTTCTGTGTTGACATGCTGCAAATTGCAGTTGCGGGTGAATTCCATTTTGGGTTGAGCACCGCCTCCAGCACAGACGTGAGGGGATGCCCTGGCGGCTCAAGTGCCAAGTACAGGTCGAGTCGGCAGTCTGGCACGACGCCACGTATGCCATCGGGCTCGTGGTCTCAGCTTCGAATCGAGCACTTGATCTCGGAAAACTGGTTTGCACCACTCGCAGCCTTGAGCCCAGGTCTTTGCTCTTCATCTTTGTCTACTTGGTGTTCTACCTTAGGCCAGCGCCCATCGGAACTTGCTCAGTCCAGGCTCAGTGTCGAAGCACGGCAGCTTGCGACGAACTGCAGGTCTGTCGTTCTGACCGTCATGGCCTTGTTCTGCATAGCTCTGTCGTTTCCCATATCGTGCCCCGGGGCTTAGCGGCTCGTTCTTGGCGTGCTACGCGCATGGGCCCGTTCGGTTCAGCAACTTCACCACAGCAGGTGATTCAGAAGTTGACACGAGCTGAAGTTCTGCTTTCTCAATACAGGCTCTGTAAAGCAACATGAGATGCCAAGGACAGCTGCAAAGCTTAACGAAGGGTCATCTATGCTCTTCAGGAGCCCGAAGACTGTCAAACCTTGTCGTGCCATGTTGGCTGGGAAGCGGCGGGCTCTTCTCATCGCCAGGCAGCCTCTCGCAACTGCAAGAAGATGCAAGAAGCATCTTGAGCTATGACGGTAAGCACGGGTTCGAAGGCAACCATACTAGGTTTCGAACTCTCATTGTCAGAGGTAGAAGAAATGAGCAATGAATGCAAACCTCCCATGCAGTCGCCAGTGCTCTCACACCTTCCCAGGCCTTGCGTTGCTGTGACTGCCCGCGCAGCCATGGGTGTCCTCTTGCGGCAAGTAAAGTTGGACGTAGTTCACAACTCGTGGCACTTGCTTTCAACCCGAATCCGCCCCTTGAATGCCTCGAAACCCACCGCTGCAAGCGCTCCAAGGTTTAAGAGTTTAAGAGATCTGCAATACAAGCTTGAGAAAATCAGGTACGAGTGACGTGATGAGTAATTAGCAAGTACTCAAAACAACTTACTAGACTAGAATAGTGACTAGTGACAGTGAGTAGGAATAGGAGCAACTATGGAAACTTCCAAGTAATATTGATCATAACATCAGTAGCACAGCACTGAACTTGGTTCCAATGAGGATAATAGCAGTAACTACAGAAGCAACACACCATAGCGACAAATCCGATAGGCACTTTTGTCGCTTCTCTACCCACACATGCTCTCATGTCTGTGAAAAGCCACGCACGCAGAGACGTCGCAGAGAACTCTTGGAGACAGGCTGACAGGGTGCCTGGTGTTGAATGTTGAGAGAGAGAGAGCCGGTCTCTGAGCCGAGCACACAGAGCCAAGGTCGCGGTGACTTCCAACAAGGCCGAGGCGACCGAGGCCCAGGCCGAGGCCCAGGCCGAGGCCCAGGCCGAGGCCGGCGAGGGTGCGGGGGGGCTTCTGCGGCCGTTGCTCGGGCAGGGGGGCGTTGCCGAGGACCGGTCCGCGGTGGGGCTCCCGCAACGGTGGAGCCTCGGCAGTTCTGAGCCCCCACTGGCAGCCCCACTCGCATCGTCTGATGCAGTTTTCGCTACATCTGCGTGGCATGAGCTGCCGCATTCCTCTCAGGTGTACCCCTTCAGTTCCAGGCCTTGGGCAGAGCACGTGTGCCGAGTGTCGTGGTCCTCTGCAGCAGTCGGGCTGTCACTCAGGGGTGGACGAGGAGCTCGCCACTTGCGACATGTGGCACGCACTCCTCTCGAAAGAGGTGCACCACGCTGTGCTGGAGCAGTGCGGTGCAGAAGCCAAGACTTGGTCCCAAGGGCTACATGCGCCTTAACAGCTTCTCCGGTGTCCGGATACGGCGCTGGTGTTCCTGGCGGTTGCAACGGCAGGCTTGGAACTTAGAGCACGTCGGAAGGTCAAGCTGTTGAGACATGTGGAGGGTCAGCCTACCAGTGCACTTGGTTGTTTTTGGCAAGCTGGTATCTGCAGCTGGGCAGCGACTTGGCGAAGGGATGGTTTGCCAAGGCTTCGAGATCAGAATAATAAAGCATCATATACCCGGTAATATACCCCTTGTCCCAACTCTGCGGATTTTTCTGCAGTCCTTGGCCGACTCAGGGAACCCCGCCGAGCGCCCCAGCTGTTTGGTGCAGTCCAGACTTGGAGGAGGGAACGTCTGACGGCTTTCGCTGCTCCATGGAAGACGACGCTGCGCCGCTAAGCTCCTGTCAGGAAGACGGTGATCCATTGGCGACACCCTTGCCGGAGTGAGGGAGCTAGGGTCCTAGAGTTTCATGTCGTCGGGTCGTGGCTGCAAATTCCGTGACTCGAGCGGTTCCTCTGCCCGATTTGAAGAGGGCAAAGTTCCTGGCAACTCTTGAGCAACTCGCTTGCAATCTCCTCCATGGGACAGCGCGAGGTGACGAGAAAGAAATGATAGGACCCCTGTGCTGGGAAGCAGGCGGTGGTTTAAGTGCGCTCAAACAAAACGTGCCAGGTACGCTTGCTATTGCTTTGTGTACGGTCACGGCAAGATGATTGCAATAAATTTCTTGCTGCTGGGCAAGCATTTGGTAGAACCAGCATGATGGTCAGTGCACGTGCTGCTCCCCAGGCCTTCTAGGCGTAGACGGAGTCTACTGATGACGATACTGACAGATAGCCTCGAAGACAATTGAGAAATCCATGACGGAAGTCCAGTCACCATACCGTGCAGTACTCTACGAACTTCCATCTGCCGTTAGTCGCTTCCACTTGCCGAGTGTGCGGCTTGCCATCCCTGGCATTGACGCAACATGCGATTGCGGCTAACTGCAACATTGATGAACTTCATTCCGTCCCAGCCAAGCAGAGCAGCTTCGGCTGCCGTGTTGAACGGATGTTTTCAGTTTGTATTCTCTGAGCTTACAGCGTTTGGCTTGCCTCAGCGCGACGACTACGCTTGGTTGCACCATGATGAGTTTCATTCCGTCCCAGCCAAGCAGAGCAGCTTTAGCTGCCGTGTTGAACGGATGTTTTCAGTTTGTATTCTCTGAGCTTAC